TGTTAAGAAGCTGAAGGAACTCCTTATTCTCACTCATTTGTTTTGGAAAAATTAAATATGTCAAATTTGAAACTAGATACATTGTTAACTTTTGAGAAGAGGAAATTTTTAAGTATAACAAAATTTTTGAAAATCAACTTCAATTTTCCACTCTGTCTCAGTTGCTCGAAAACTTAAATATTTTTTTTCCAAAATTTGTAATATCTGTTTTCGACGTTTCATGTACCACATAAAACCTGTAATAGAAGGGCCCCCTAACTTATAACCTAAAACCAATTTTTCTCAGTTCCTGTCGACGATATCAAAGAACAGTCAACGGGAGAATTTTTATATCATTATATCAAAAGTGATTTGTCAGTTGACGACTTTTCAAAACCTTTCAAAGTAATCGAGATTAATTAGCTCAAATTTGAAAGTTAATGAGGTCCTTCTTTTAGAGTTTTTACAGTAAAATCAAAATTTAGAGCTTTGGATACCCTAAATATTGTTTAATCAAATTCTGAATTTTTCAAAATACTCCCAGAGTTTTTTGTCTCCACCTTCCACTCTCAATTTCTCAATATCAAATTCATTGAGAAAAAAAAACCATCAAAAACAAATAAATCTCAAATTGCCGAAACATTTTCTCAGGTTGTTAAATTCACACCTTCACGGCACCTCCCGACACTTGTTTCAATCTTGACCCCTCTCCCTTCTTAATGATAAAATGATGTGAATCGAGACCAATTGTACTTTGAAATTGTTTCATTTCATTCATCTCCCATTAGCTCCGTATCTCTCTTCTTTCCCCTCGTGATCTTATACGAATTGCACTTCTGTTCTGATATATCTGTTCCTTGTTAATGGTGGAGCCTGTTGTGTGTTTCTCTCTGCTTTGGGAGGGAAAGAAAAATTATCTTCTTTTACTCCAGCGTTTTTCAACATTATCATCATCATAAGAAAAGCTATCACTTTGGTTTTCCTCCGTTGTAAAACACAATGTTCAAATCTTAGTGGCAGAAATCATTAAAAAAAGCCAATGATCTTGAGGTATATCCAGAGAAAGTTAGTTATGATAAGCATGATAGATTAGTCTACTAGAGTTGCTACGTCACATTGAAACATCTCTCACAAACAAAAACCTTCTTTTCCACCCTTCGCTTCCCCCCCCCCCCAACCCCCCCAATCTGCCACATTTTTAGACATCTTTCTCGCTGTTCCTAGGCACTGCTCGCCCCGACACCGTTGACATGCTCAAAATAAAAACATGGATCATGAGTAGTAGTTGTCTGGGGGCTTTCTTGCAGCGGTTTTGTTATAACAAGTTTGATCAAGAGATGTTCATCTCTCAGACCCCTTTCTCTTTGATGACAATGGTGTCCACTGGCAATAGCAACTGCCTTGAGCAAAATACATAGATAACCATACTTGCGACCGCGATTTGGGCCCTTCGCGGGCTTTGCCATAGTTTCGTTTTGAATTGATATTTTCAGAGCAACTGAATTAAATATGATGAAACTCGGCGAGGCGAGTACTACAAAATGATACGATTTGGAAAACTGTGTCTTGGCTAAGAACAAAGTTACAAGTCATAAAGTGGACGGGCCTTGTCGCGTGGGCCCGGGTCGGGCCTCTATTTCTTGGCTGTAACTTTGTTTACAGACAAGACACAGTTTTCAAAATAGTACCATTTTGTAGTACTTGTAGAGTTCTATCATATCTAATTTAGTTTGTCTAAAATATTAATGCTCAGAGAAACTATTTCAGATCCCGCAAAGGCCCGGCAAAGGCCCGGTCGCAAGTATGTAGATAACAATGTTCCTTTTTTAGAATGTTAGAATATTCTGAATCTAGATTGTTTTTTAATATCACCACCTTATGTTTCACCTGACCTTTCCGTCATTTGAGAGATGTGTTGTTCTTATCTTCAGTCCAAAAAGTTCGGAAGATATCGCATTTCACCTCATGTCCCTCAAGATATTTCTTCATTACCAGGAACTCATAGGTGATAAAGTTAGATCTCAAATTTTTTTTGCCGGAGAAATTATACGTGGCGTTCTGTTTCTAACTTTATAAAGTATTAAAGGTGGGGGGACGTGAGAAAAATAATGTTGTCGAAATCCCGTTTAAATATGCTCCTCAAGGAGTTGAACTTGTCGAGACAAGTATTGAAAGTGCGGCGCCGCTACCGACTGAGCTACGCGTGCAAAGAGAAAGCCGCTGCCCGATTGCATACATAAAGGCGAGGGCGACAGATGTACGCAGAGTGACATTAGGCGTTGTACACCGTGACGGTAGAATGCATATTCTGGCCCCAAAAATCCCCCGTAAAAGCTCCTGTCCCCCCACCTTTAAACAGGCAGGGACCGTAATTTCTTTAAAAACTAACTCAAGATTTTTTAACATCTCTATTTATTTTTAAAATTGATGCGGCAATTATGATTTTGAGTTTTTTTTTTTCGAATTTTCAAAATTCAAGTTTCAATAAGACTTTTTTGAAAATTTCAATTTGTTTTTTACATTGAGGATTTTATATAAAATTCTGGATAGCCGGTAAAAAATGATTCCTGGTTTGATTATATCGATTCATGTATAAAATATCAAAAAGTAGTCAACTGCTAAATTGTTTATCACAATATCAACAACATTTGATCAGTTGACAACAATGAGATAACTTTTACAGAAATCGAGATAACTGAGTTCAAAGATGACGGTTTCGATATGCTTCTAATCGTGTTATAAGAACATATGCCTTATTTTGAAACCTATTATTTTAATTCTTGTACGAAATAACAAAAATCAGCCAACTGATAAAAATTTATCATAATATCACCAACATTTTTGTAGTTTTCAAGAGACAATTGAGCTCAAAGTGCAAGATAATTTTCGACGATTTTCGTAATAAACCTTCTTCCATTATTTTAATTTCTGAATTTTCCAAACTTAAATGCTAATTGGTCAGCTTTCAAAAAGCTAAAAAATAGCAAATGGAAAAAAAACACACGGGTTTTATGACAGAGGAAATACTCAATTTTAATACTCCCCTCTTAAGTTTATGACCCCCGTATATCCACCTCCTCCACCATCATCAACTCATTCTCTTATCCCAAATGTTTTCCTAGCGGTGTTCTCTATTGTTCAATTTTTTGTCTCTTTCTCAACCAACTACAACCCAGTGAATCTAATGAGTTGGTATTGATCATCCTGTTTTTCTCATTTCGATTTGGTCTCACAATCAGGGCTCAATCTCAAAAACGAAATTGTCTCAAAAAATGATAGAAAAACCACATTGGCCAATCAACAAGACAAGAGAAAAGACAGGAGGTGCTGTGTTATTTGCCATCGCCATCAAAATCAAACGTGAGGTTGTTGCAAACTCATCTCCAATTTGCTCTTTTCCCATCAATTGTTATCAATATCCTTCCCAGACTGCTTTTATCTTCATGTCCCCTCCCTTTTCCCTAGAATTTTTCTCGCTGGCCCCAGGACGACGAGTCAGAGGCAAAAAGTGTGTCTTTGCTCTGTTTCTTCGTGTCTTCGTCGTGTCACGGACCTCTTGTGTCTTCTTTTCGGCCGCCAACCCGCAAAAATTTCATTCATTACATCGCTTGTTGCATTTTCCGAGCACCTTGCCGCATCCCACTATCACTTGTTTCATATCACTATTTTTACATAATGCGAAAAGGGGATCCCGGGGTCTGTTACCCAGACACATGGTTCCGCGTCATCTCTCTCCGCCCCGCCATCATCAGATAAACCCATTTTCTCTCATTCGTTAAGTTTCTCAGACGCGCAAAAAATGGGGAGCCCCACACGTCGCGTTCCGTCTACCCATCAACCTTTTTTCCCCCTCTAATCATATCGCAACCACCATTACTCATACACACCAGCCATCCTTCCGTTTCTCTTTTTTCTTTGTCAGAAGATTTAGTGGGAGATATAATCATTCAGATTCCAGAAACCAGAAGAATCAGAGGGCTCCCGGAGCGTCGGCGTGCAGTCACCTGAAGCACGACGATGCCGAAATCAGGCGCTCATCAGCCGCTGGTTCGACACGATACTGATGATGGAGCCGACACAGGACAATCGGTCAAATCCCTGGCGGATGTGTCCGAAGAGGAGATTGATAGTCGAATGAGCAGAAGGTCATCGGTTATTGTGAGTTTTTGAGAAAAAAAAACTATTTGTTGAGAATTTAAATAGATTACTGTAGTTTTTCCAATTGATGCTGTCTTTAGTTTTTAGGCAAATCAAATGAGTGACATCTAATTTTTTAAAAGCCTAATGCACATAGAATGTTTTCCATCTGGAAAAAATTGGATACCAAATGATTTTCTGCTGTCAAATATGATCAAATTTTTAATTTGAGTTCATTTCTAGAGTTCTACGCACAACTTGTCCGATTTTTTCAACTTCTATTGAAACGACAGATGAAATTTCACCAGAATAGGCCTTAGACCATCAAACCTAATAAATTTTATGGTAGATCAAATTTGATTCGGTCCCTAAAGAATCATTTTTTCAGGCTGACCTGCTTTCCCTCTTCCGACGTTCATCCAGTGTTCTTGTTCGCCCACATACCCGATTAGGAAACCCGAATTATGACGAGTAAGTAGTTACAAACCAACACATCTCACACCGGCTTCCTTAATTTTTTTTTCCAGTGATGACGACGAATTCGACGAAGAAGACGACAAAGAGGCATCCAAAGATCGAATACTCAAGAAAATTCAGCAGAAGAAAGAGATTATACAAAAGTTGCGCGGTCAGCCATGGTACATGCGAAGGAAACGGAGAACATTGAAGTGAATAAGAGCTATCCTTTAAAAAAAAGATAACTAGAAAATTTTCAGAGTGGCTCAAAAGCATCTACAGCAGCAAGAGGCGAAGGTGTCCAAAGCTAGGTTATATAAAGCAGAAGCGGGACGGCGGTTAACACAAGCTAGCCGGTGGTTGGATAATTTGAAAATTTATCTTATTCCTTGGGAGGCAAAAATTCGAAAAATTGAGAGCCATTTTGGTTCGGTCGTGTCCTCATACTTCACTTTTCATCGATGGGTTCTTGGTGTCAATATCACTATCACTTTTATCATGTGCATGTTTGTTGTTATTCCAGAGGTTCGGTTTCTGTTTTTTGGAATCTTGATATACGGTTTATTTCAGTGGCTCGCCGACTCCAGAACTCAATTCGGAGATGATAGATACAACAAGACAAAGTCTATCAAGGTCATGCCACCAGCGGTTCGCGCCAGAGCCGATGAGCTTTCCACAGTCTGGGATTTTGGGGTGATTCCCAAAAAAAAACAAGCAAGTTCTAAATAAGAATCTTCCAGGGCTACTTTCAATACTCGTTGTTGTTCTATGGTTTCTACTCAAAGGAGACATTTTTCGGTGAAACGATCAAATATCGCGTTCCTGTTGCCTATTTCTTTTGCAATATTTTTATTCTAGGATTTTCACTTTTCATCATTCTCAGAAAGTGAGTAACTGGTTGTAATTCTGAGAAAAAATTTCTAAAAAATTTTCAGGATGGCGGCTAACAACCGTCGAGGAACATTATCATCCGGAAAAACGCAACAGTATCTTTTCAATTGGAAAGCTTTCACCGGATGGGATTATACAATTGGTAACCCCGAAACCGCTGGAAATGTGTACATGGCAAATGTGATCAAGTTCCGTGAGGCTATAAACGATGATAAACAGAAACCAAGTGATAAACATCCGTGGATTCGTTTTGTGGCTCGTGTGCTCACGAATTTGTTTATTTGTGGAATGTACGTTTTCTCAATCTGGGCTATCATGCAATGCGGTACACTTAAAGGCGAACATTTTTTCGCCCAGGTTAGTTTTCCAAAAACTGAAAATTTATATTTTTCCGAGTTCCAGAACGCCACAGCCATTACCATCTCTCTGATTACATTGGTTTTCCCAAATATATTTGATCTACTTGGAAAAATTGAGAAGCTCCATCCAAGGAATGCGCTGCGGTTCCAACTTGGAAGAGTTCTGGTTCTCTACATTCTCAATTACTACACTTTGATTTATTCGTTAATGCTACAATTGGAAAATCTGCAAAAAGAGAAGAATGAGTTTGACAGGCCTAGTACCACAACAGTTGCTCCAAATGCTGATACTTTGGCTAGGTGGGTTAATATTGAGATGCTTGACTTTCAAAAAAAAGTTACAGAAGTATACGTGACACTCTGTTCCCTCGATATCCTGTTAACAACACACCTCATACTTACTACTCCTACACACCTGTGACCACTACTCCAATACCATCCACCAACTCTTGGACTACGGTACTTCCGGATTTTGGACCGTTTGGTGTTTACAACCCAAAAGCTTCTGTCACAAAAGATGATACCGTGTTCTCGTCGCCAGTAGTAGAGACTCATCAATTTGGGCCGAATTCTGACTGGAATGAAACTACACCAAATGCAGCTAGCCCAACTGGGTAGGTATTATTTTCCATCCAGAGTAGACCATATTCAACTCAAATTGGACATAAAGATTATGAGTTCTGGGCTGGAGCTGCATTTTCTATACAGTAATCCTTCATTTTTCAAATTGTGATTTCAGAGCAACTACCCGTGCATCACTGCGCTTATCTCAAGGAGGTCTCTGCTGGGAGACAATTATAGGACAAGAAATCACAAAGCTAGTCACCATGGATCTGTACATGACCGTGGCTTCAATTTTCCTCATTGACTTTCTTCGTGGACTAGCATGTCGTTACCTGAATCTGTTTTGGCCGTGGGATTTGGAAAGAACTTTTGTGAGTATTATCACAAAGCGGCAATTTTGAAATCATACAATTTCAGCCAGAATATGGAGAATTCAAAGTAGCAGAGAACGTGCTCCATTTGGTTAACAATCAAGGTTTACAAGAAGTTTTCAAATTAAAATATTTTTCAAAATTTCAGGAATGATCTGGCTTGGTCTCTTTTTCGTCCCTCTACTCCCGATGCTTAATAATATCAAGTTGATTATACTGATGTATATCCGAGGATGGGCAGCGATGACTTGTAATGTGCCAGCTAGTCAAATCTTCCGCGCCAGTCGTTCTTCCAATTTCTTTTTCGCCCTTCTCATACTATTTCTGTTTCTTTGTACTCTTCCAGTCGGATTTGTGATCGCCTCAAAGACTCCTAGTAAAAGTTGCGGACCATTTGGGTGAGAAAAAATACCGATAAATGACTATCAAGTGAATGTGAAAACTTTCAGAAATCAATCGTTTTTCTACAGTGTAATTACTGATGTTCTCCATGAGAACTTGGATAAGACATTGGTCAATGGAATCAAGTACAGTTTGTCCCCTGGAATTATCATCCCGGTTCTTGTTTTGTTATCGTGAGTGGATTCCAGACTCAGCTAAAACTACGATTTCAATTTCTAGACTGGTTATTTACTTCCTCATTGCAATGGTGACCGGTTTGTCGCAAGCGAATCAGGATTTGTCTTTTCAACTCATGGTGGTAAGTGTTTGGCAGTAACTTGAAATGAAAAAGCAAACGGAGACCGTATCTGTCATAGGCGCTTCACCTAGTTTCAGTTTGGTCTCGTTGGATGAGGCTGAGAATTATATTAAATCTTAAAAATATGTTTCAGGAAAGAACAGAAGAAAAGAAAAAGATCTTCGAACTTGCTGGTGGAAAAAAGAAAAAGAGCAAAGACAACACATTCGGAAAACAAAAGCCCAAGCAGCTCCTTTCTCCTCCAACCAAAGGAGTGTCTTCTGATGACGATTCTCAACACAACCGATCGACCGCTAAAAGTGTTTCTGGCCGTCAGTTTGTTCCATCCCTAGGATCAGTCTCAGAAGTGGATCATAGTACCGGAGAAGAACAGTCATCTGATACTGAATCTACAACATCTTCTCTCCCACCTAAATTATCACTCCGACAGAAATTCCTAGTTTGTATTGGTTGGGCAGATCCAAGGAAGTATGATAGACGAAGCGATGATATTGAAATGGAAGAAGGTGGTGGTAGAATTCGTGAGCTATCAACCGGATCTGACAGTGACTCGGATGATGAAGACAGTGAGAAAAGGTGTGGAATTTCATCGAAAGAACCTTTGACCTGTACAGTTAACTTCAGAAATTCCGAAAGCCGATACCTCCTCCCTCCAGATGGGTCTCGTCCGGCGTCCAGAGAAAGGTCTGAAAACCAAAGTAAAAGAAGTTCAGCAAGTCGACGAACCAGGTAAGGATTATTGCTTGTCTCACATAAAAATCTCATGTGACATGCCATAATTTCTTACAGCAACCGCGACATGTCATATCGTACAGCAATCCAGTCATTCGATCAAAATTCACAATCAGCATCCGGGTCTTCTTCAAAGTCTACAACAACGGCTCCATCGAATTCGGAGATGAGAATGTGAGATTTGAAATTACCTGAAACTAGAATTTTACAATTGAGATCTCTTCTATCTTTTGCTTATATTGCAGTTTTAACGATTTTCCCCATAGATTTTTTTTCAGTGAAATAAACGAAAATCCGCTTCGCACATATGTCACTCCACTCAGAATTGAGAAGAAGTTAGTGACTGTCGAAATATTCCCAAACAAGTAAATTTTTAATTACAGAAGTTCCGCAAGCTCTTCAACAAGCTCTCATCCGCCATCATCTTCCATTGAGAAGCAAGCAGCAAGAAGACTCCTTCAACCAATCAGTACTACACATAATATTCGCTATGGGTAAGAAATTTAGTTTTCACAGGGTTGCAATCTGACGGGCTGGCCGGCCCGAGGGAAAAAAACCAGGGCCCGGCCCGGCCCGGCCGGCCGGCAATTAATTAATATTTGAACGCGCGCCATTTTTATTTGCAACGATGCTCCGATATGACGAGGTATCACCCTCTCGTGTGAGACTAGATGGATGACAAATATCAAATATTTATGGGACATCGATAGCTGTCTGCAAGTAGTTCAGAATTCGAGTAAATTATCGATGAGAGGCTCCCCTTGTTCATTTATACGGTTTTTACATTGTTATGCTACTTGTTAAAGGTGGGGGGACAGGAGATTTTTCGTAGTTTTTTTGTAGCTAGAGTATGCATTCTACCGTGACGGTGTACAACGCTTAATGTCACTCTGCGTACAGCTGTCGTCCTCGCCTTTATGTATGCAATCGGGCGTGCGCTTTCTCTTTGCTCGCGTGGCTCAGTCGGTAGCGGCGCCGCACCTTCAACACTCGCCTCGACAAGTTCAACTCCTCGAGGAGCATATTTAAACGGAATTTCGACAACATTATTTTTCTCATGTCCCCCCACCTTTAAGAAATAAATTCAAATAATTCTTCAATAATTTCTGTTTTTTCTTAAATTCGAACGGGCCGAACCGGCCGAACCGGCCGGGCCGGAGAAAAAATAATCTTGGCCCGGCCCGGCCGGTTGCAACCCTGAGTTTTCATTTATCATCATTATTATCATAAACGCTTTCCCTTGAAGCTCGACTATCTCGGTTCCTGTTTGAGATATCAACAATTAGTCAATTGACCAACACTTTCATAGTATTTATATTTTTATAATTCTCAAAAAAATTGAGATATTTGAGTTTGAAGTTCAAATTCAGAAAATTTTCTATTTTACATTCTTTTTTACATTTTAATTTCAGAGTGGCTACTGTAGAAAACTCATCCCAAGATCCCACTCGCCCTCCTTCAACTGATGATTCTCTTGGAGACCCCGCACTTCATGATCCTCTTTGGGCAAACTTGAATCCACACAGCAGGTAAGAATATCAAACGTCTGAAAAATCAATTCTCATACACTTTCCAGTTACACGTCGGCTATGATGTCGCCAATCATGAATGAGTTCATGTCTAACGACGAGACGACAGACGACGAGAAGGGACGTTTGATTCCGGATAGGTATGATTTTCTCACGAGTTATTTCTGATTCCCTTAGCAATTCTTAGAATTTCTCATTGTAATAAGAAATCATGTTTTCGATTCCAGACCACCAATTCCACACTCGCCCAGAGAGCTGAAAAGATTAAAGCGTGAGAAGGACCAATCCGAAGGCGGAAGCAAGCCAAGCGTAAGCGAATTAGAACCTTCTTGAAAATGAAGTCATTATTCCAGACACCCCGGCCCCCACGGTTCAGGATATCCATGTCGCCTCCAAGAAAGCCACCATCAGAGAAAAATGTTGGTTTTTAAAAAAGATTCATTAAGTAATTTTTAAGTTTTAGGACTCCGACAGCTCCAATCGAAAATATGAGATGAGAGTTGAGAAGTCACCAAAGAAACCGAAAAAATCAGAAGATTCAAAGTGAATGATTATTTTCAAAATTTTCAACAATCATGATGGGTAATTGTCTTCTAAACCTTTGGCTGGTGTCTTTTTCCATTTTGTTTTTGTTTTTTTATTCATTAAAGGGGGACTCCGACCAAAAATTTTTATTGCATTAAAATGTGC